AGTCAGGGTCTGCCTTTCACCGTTTTTGCTCGAGCGTGGGCTGAGAATAATAGCTGAAAAGTGGGCTGAGAACCTCAATTTTTACAGGGTGTCTTGCCGCGTCCCGGCGCGAAGGGTTAAAGGCTGTTTTCTCGTAAATGGGTTGTCTGGGTTTTGCCACTATGTCCTTTCCCCAGGGGTGATAAAGTTGGGGTACGTATATAAATTTTATATCATTCTAAAGCTGAGAAGCTGGGGAACCTGAAAAAGCTAAAATCTCCAAATTTTCAACTTTGTCCGGGCTTTGTTGGAGCAGGTCACATACATGTATGTCAGGCTTGTGCAGAAGAAAGCAATAGAAAAAGGACTTATTTTCTTCTGAAATGTTTTGTTGACCCCCAAAATGTTTTGTTAGTCTATATGACATTGTTCAAATCACACTGGTGCCATTTCAGGGTAATCCATTGGCAGGTGGCCCACTCACAAAAAGGGCAGACAGTCGTTAAAAGAGAAATAAGAGAAATCTCATTTTGGAGAAATAAGAGAAAACGGCAGTTTTTGGACCATTTCGGTTACTCCCAAAAGCATGAAAATGGGTGCAATATTTTGCCTCACCTATCAGAAGACAAGAAGATATTACATATTGCCCCCCCCAAAAAAGTCCTCTCAAAAATATGGTTGGGAATCAATACGTGCTGGAATAGGTAGATTACAAAGGCATAGTGTATGGAGAGAAGCACTGAAAATTGTGATCTGCTCTGTGAAAAGTAGACAAAGTTCACTGGAACCACTTCAGATTTAACAACCTTTAAAAGAATCTTGCATGGTGTAAATACATGTAACACGGAACCCTCAACATTTTTCACCCACATATACACTGTATGTGCATGCTGTGTCCATTTTTCCCGAGTTTTTCCAAAGGATACCAAACTATTGATGCATAAAACAAAGTGCAAAATATACTTCTTGTATTTCTAATACAAAGTAAAACTCAAAAGTGGCTTTGGTGACATCTGATAAAATTTCTCATTTCTCACATGTACATATACACTGCTATGCAAAAGTCTGATCACACCTGAGTGCTCAACAAATTTTGTGGTTTTTTGGCATCAGGAGAATAAATAAATTTCCACAAATACAATACCTGTGTTTGTGTTGATGTCTTTATTCCATTAAATTCATGTTTCCAGTTCCAAAACTTGAATTGGTGAACAATTACGGGCCTAGCAATAGACCTACAACATGACGTAATGCAGTGTTAACCGCCATGCATTGTGGAGGAAAGATGGGGATTTTGCAGGAATGTGTCCACGTGAAACATTATGTGTAACGTACACTATATGGTGTGTGTATCGGCCTGACACGAAAAAAATAATAAAAAAAATTTCGATTATCGTCCGAAATGGTCCATGTGAACTGCTGTGTTCCACTGTGTTTATCAAGCACTCAACGAACGCCAGAAATGCGTATTTTTTACTTCCACGGGACCGCAAAAGGCGACAGATTTCCTTGAGAAATAAGGCCATCAAAGTGAAGTCCAAGTGGACCTCTCTGTATGTAGTCTACATTTTGTAGGCGGAGACAAAACTTACGCATACGATGTACCGGATCCAAGAATTTTCCCATGGACAAGTGAGTGGGAGGAGGTTGCCTTTCTCTTCAGACATGATTTGGGAACTTCATACATGATACTCTCTCTCATGATTTTGCTGGTAAACAGAGGAGAGCTATAACTTCTCATGGAAATCTTTGCCTATTTTTCCATTTCATCTGTGAACGCTGATGAACTTAACTAAGCAAGGTTAGCATGCCAGCCCACGCATGCATAGGGCCCACCTGCATACGCTCGAGCATGTCGGTAGACAAGCCTGCTTTTGTACTGGTCCTAGTTGTTCGCCGCCGCCGGCATATTGAACTCGAACTTAAGCTTGTTTTGGCTGCAAGATTGGCAGTGGTTTTAGGTTTGCAATAGTAGAAAAGCTTCTCCGTTGTTCATTTTGCCGGGAAACAACCTCATCCCACTCACTTGTGCACGGGAAAATCGTTGGGTCGGTACATCATAGGTTTTGTCTCCGCCTACAAAATGTAGACTGCATACAGAGGTCCACTTGGACTTCGCTTTGATGGCCTTATTTCTCACGGAACTTATCCAAATCTGTCGCCTTTTGCGGTCCCGTGGAAGTTAAAAAAATAACGCAGCTCTGGCGTACGTTGAGTGCCTGATAAACACAATGGAACACAGCAGTTCACATGGACCATTTTGACGATAATCAGGAATTTTAAATATTTTTTTCATGTCAGGTCGAAACGCCATATAGTACACTTTACACATAATGTTTCACGTCGACGTGTTCCTGCAACATCCCCACCTTTCACCCACAATGCTCCGTGGTAAACACTGCACTACATCACTATGTTGTAGGTCTATTAAAGTCTCTCCATGCGTGTGCACAGTGTTCTCATTAGCATGTGTTCTCATTAGCATATCATTAAGGCGTGGAACAAAATACATTGACCATTCGCATGCGTGCGAACTCCAAGAACGCATTCTTTTGTTCAAGCTACCTCCAATTTGCGTGTGTGAGAATTTCCAACAAAAGGCCCGTCATGGTCTGTGCACACAGCAACATGTTGTGGCCCCCATGATGGCTCAAAACCTATGTGAACAAAATGTGAGGTCCCCGAAACAAGAATGGTGTTCTAACAAGCGTCCTTGGATAGGAAATAAAATTCTTGGCAAACAATGAACGGCGGGGAAAATTAAATGAAGGGCCACTCTTCTGCTTAAGACATTTATTTTTAATTTTCTGAAGTAGCCTTTAAGCACTGCATTCCACAAAGTAATACCTTGCTTCTAATCAACAAAAAGATATACATTGTAGAAAGTTTTAAAAGGGGTGTTTGTTATGGGGTCGAAACATCTTTCCAGCCTTTGAGGTTTGCCATTGCGCAATTATTTTCATTCAGTATATGGAGCCTGCCTATACCCAACTTGAAGAAAAAAAAACATTAGTCCTAAACGGTGTCAGCACTCTTCACACTAGAATAAGGGGAACGATTTTTAGCCTTACCAATCACATTATTATTTTCATTCCAGGTTGTATCCCTCCCCATCAGAGAGCATTATTGCCCTCACAAATTTGTTCTATCATTTCAGAGTTTTGTCATTGAGATCTAGGCAAAAACATTTCAGCCCCCGACTGGCTGCTCTTTTTTTAAATCTTTAATTTTTAAAAATAATCCTGCCTTTGCACATTTCAAAAGCAATCCGATACTTCCGCTTCACAGATTTTAAGGTAGGAATTTATGTTTATTTTGCTAAACGTTTAGCAACTTTTCAATTTGCCATTGAACTGTTTGGCCAACACACACACACAAAAAAGCCGCCGCTTGTCAGCTTCGTTTCTGCCAACAATAATGCATTTGTGGTTGTCTGAGTGTATGCCGGTGTGCTATTATTGACAACATACATGCACGACTTTCCAAAAAAGAAAGAGGGAACGCAGGGGAGATGGTTACAATTAATCACTGTGTAATTGTGAGAAATATGTGCATTTGGCCTCTTCAGCAGAAAATTTTTTCTTCCAAAAGGTGATTAAATGTTTTGTAGAAGAATTTCTTTATATAAAAGTTTAAGGCCTGGAAAATGCTATTTGCCATAATTTAATGTAGACCGGCTACCGAGCAAGTGTATGCATGTATGATGTGTACATGTATGATGTATAATCTTTACACAGTCTGGAGATTTGAACTAAAAAACAGGAAATAAATGCGTAGCTAGATACTGGCGTTTGTTAATTGACTCGCAGAAATCTTCGGTAAATATATGTACATGTATGTTGCTAGTTTAGATTGTTTGCAAAAATTCTTGCCTGACATTTTGTTGCCAATTTTGGACATCTACATGTACATAAAAATGCACCTTCAGTGCTGATATAATTTGATGGTTCCTGGCATGGCCCATTTAATATTTACCATTTTACCAACAGGAGCCAGTGTAATCTGTCGTACATGTTATATATTGTTTTTAAGTGACGACTTCAAAACTTCTTTTATTTCATGATTCTTCCCCCAGTGAGGACTGCCCAAAGGTGAAACATGAAAGGAGACTAGCATGTATTTTAAAACTGCAGGAATTGTCATTCTTTTGTTTTGTTTTACCATTTTGCGTGCAAGTTTTATTCCAAATCCTCATACTGTACATGTAGGTGTGGCCACCACACATTTCAATACTGGCCTGAGTTCAGAACAGGTGCTTGCATCCATGATCCGAATTGCTATACCAGATGATAGCTTTTCCAAACATTTTGTGTGGACCCCATCATGTTTGTTATAGCGATGTTCCACTGTACATGTATGTGTTACTTGTAGATTTTGGGGGATTTGTTTTCAAACAATGGACCCTCTTGTAAGCATTAAAAAGGGATGCCTAAAGAGAGGGGAAAATTAACATACATGTATAATAATTTGGGTCCCCAAAATGAACATGTATTTGCTTACATGCAGTTATTTGTGCCCCGATGTATACATGTGTGCATTTGGATCGTGGTTTCATGTTGTGGATGAGAGCTTTGACTTTTTAATGGTGCTGGTAAAAATAAACACGTATAATGATTTTGAAAAAGTGTGGGGGTGGAAAATTTTTGCTAACCATTATCATTAACTTTTTACGACTTTGTTCATGATACTTATTCTTATTATTGTTTTAGGGGACGCACCATCTTCTTGAGGAACAAATGTGTATCAAAGATGGCTTGTCTCGCATCATGGTGGAAATGATAAAGAGAGAATGGCCACAGAATTGGCCTTCATTGATGTCTGAATTGAACACACTTTGTTCTCTTGGGGTAAGACTGAAAAGAATTATATTCACTTCTAAGACTAAGTTTGCAGTTTATTTTATGTTGATTGCACATGAAACAGTACTTCGCAATGACAGACAAAAGTTGCAGGTAACAGCCCACTTTGCTTGCGATTTTCCCATATTCATAATTTAGGGAAATATAATTTTTTTTTATCAAAGTGGTTTGAAATTTTTTTGAAGCATACAAGTATCAGATAGCAATCAAAATGATAATGCAGAATTTCTCCATGTGTAATTTCATAATGTGCTACGCTTAAAGGATGAGGGTAACATGCACTTTAATTAACCAGTCACCTGATTTTTTGGGCTATTGAAAAAACATCAAAGATTGAGGTACATGTATAACAACCAGGTTTTTGGGAGCAGTTTCAGGTGTCTTAAGTTGGTAGAGAAAAATGCCCATAATTAGAAATGCATGAACTTGTACATGTATTGTAAATGTAGGTCTTGAATATTGTACATTTTTCCATATGCTTCACAAGGATACCCAAACAGAGCTAGTACTACTTGTATTGCTGCGTTTGGTAGAGGATGTTGTCACCTTTCAGAGTCTTCAGACAAGTCGTAGAAGAGATGTCCTGCAAGCCTTGACATCTCACATGGCCGAACTTTCCACATTCATGATACAACTGCTCAAACATCATGTACAGACTTATAGACAACTGGTGAGTATGTTGTTGAACAATGAAGGCAGGAACACCCTGTTCATTGCAGTGCTGGTATTGGTTGAGGGGCCATTCAAACTTTTCAATGTTTTACAAGTTTGAAATTGTTGTTGCCGCCATACACCCTCATCTGAACAAATATTCATGGAAACAATTCATATTCTTTTAGGTGACACTTTTTACCTTTGGTCACTTGGAGATTATGCTTTACAGTGTAGATGCACATGTGCATTGGTTTTGTGTCGTTGCATTGGTTTTTGTACTGTTCAGATAACACCTCAACCCTAACTCCCTACCCTACATGTACGTGTACATGTGTATGTTTCTAGTAAATAACCAGAATCATGCAGAATCCTCCAATTCTGAAGTGTTAAAAGCCCCATATAACCTGAATCCTGCAAAATCTTTCAATATAAGTTGATGGATACCACTGCTTGAATCTTGCAAAATCTTCCAGTGGGTTTAAGGCCAGTGTTACTTAAATTATGTAATGGTACATGTACCTTTTATTATCATGCTCCTTTTGAAGTTCAATGAACTATGTACTGGTAATTATTATTCAACATAAAGAGATTTACATTATTTTTTCAATGACATAAATAGTGGTGTAACATGTACCCACTGTGAAGATGAATATGTCCAAAATTGCCTTTCACAAGTGTACTTACATGTACCTTACACCATGAGGCTGAGTGCTACGAAATCAGACACCCCCAGGCTACCGAGCCTAAGACCAGATACATATACATACATGTCCCATACAGTACGCAGTAGGTGTCCACTTGCCATTCAGGGCAGATGTATTGTACATGATACATGTACAGTGTACATTCACCTGTGTGAGAGTACTGAGTACCAAATAATCTACATCCTCCAAAATCATATTTTGGTTTAATTTTCCAGCAGCCTCAATCCTCCAAAATCCTCATCTATCACATTCTTCATGCCTCAATTCTGCAAATTCCTCTAATGCATCAATTCTCAAGTGCCCTTAATCTGCCATATTCCTACGATAGGCTTTGAGGATTTTGAGGATTTGGGGTTGTTAGGTTAATAAATAGCTTTGTAGAGCACTTTAACTGGCATCAGTGTCATGTGTGCACATGGTGCAAGCCATGCTCCTCCTGTCTTTGTAGTCAGATTCAAACAGGTGAACAATCCAGTGGTAACAGCTACTGGTAATATAGAGCGCTATCAAGAGGTTGCCACAAATAGTCCATTTTTTGTAGTGTATTGTAGGGGAACTGTCTACAAATTTTCATAGTGTGCAGGACTTTTGAAGTTAAACTCAACTGGAAGGGAAATTTTAAATTTCCAACAGAATGGTGTTTATCTGTGAAGCTGCAGCACGTTTTACCCATACTTTCAAACTAAGAAAGCTGAAAAAGATGCATGGATGGACGGAATAAAGTGGGTTGAATGGCCATGCAAAAATTGTGCTACTGTGGTGAGATGGAAGCACCATAATAGGTGAGCAGGTAAAATGAGCTGACCACAACTAAGCACTCAAGGCTATGTTCAAGGCATTTCAACGCAGACTGACATTGATGGGTTTGGCAATGCCCATGGGGATTCCAAGTTATTCGCATGGAACAACTGAGGAAAGCCTGTCAACCCTTGATTGCTTGCTGCATTGCACAAACTGAATGCAGCTAGATATAGTCTTACAACAAGTACGCGTACAAGAGTGCACCTCAATAACCCTGTCATGCATGTCCCTGATCCAGAACCCAGCTCTATGGACATAACTTTTTCAGGATACAAATATTGGGAACAACAGAGTCTTATTGCAAAAAGCAGTGCTTGGTAAGTAACAATCTGGGGCATTGTCAGTGTCTTATGAAAATTTCAGCCGAAGCTCCAACCTGTACATGTAGCTCAAGTCTTACAGAAAAATATCCTGAGGATGAGCAAGGATTAAACTTGAGCCACATCGAAAGAAACTTAGAATTGGCTATAGTAAACTGTAAGAATAAAAATAGTCTAAACTTTCAGACAATTCAACATAATTTGAAATCATTGCTAAAACAGATGCCACAGAAAAATGTCTGAACTACATGTACATGTACATGCAAACAGTCCCAGTGAGCAAATTCAACATTTAACAGTCCACTGCGGTCAACATATGCATATTTCCCTAGTGCTTTATTGCTATTCACAAAATGTTTTATCAGCCAAAGTGTGCCCCTATCAGTCCAGCACAGGCATGATCGCTGCCTCGTTCATCCTTCTTTACCCGTTTTTTGCTTACGGACGTGTCTGTTGACTTTCTCGATTTCATCAAACATTCCTTGTCGCTAAAGCTGATTTGTGTTACCCTGATCAACCAGGCATGGGGACTCCCCCTTTCTCGTCACAGCTTTCCAGTCTCTTTTGGACAATTCTCCAGCCTGATAAGCTAATTGCCGCAGAGATAACCTCCTGCCACCACAGGGATGCCCTCACTACTGATCAACATGTCTTTGAACCTGCTCTGCCTCTGGCTTCATATATTCGAGTAATCTTGCTCCGCTCCCCCTTGGCTGTCCGTGAATTCTCTTCCGGGGAAGACAACATCAACTCTCTGGCTAGCCTCACCCCTTCCTGAGTCCCGTCTATGTGTACTCCAGTGTGACATGATCCAGGTCTTGGGCCTCCCTACTGCACCGTCGGCAGGCCAAGATTCTGGGTGTCACTCTTCCTTCAAACGGCATGTGGCCAAACTGGAGACAACATCGCCCATCTTCTCAGTCCTCCCACTGGACTGCTCTTGCATAAAAACATTCAAGGTTCTCACCTCTGCTAAAGAGTGGCATCCTTTCCTGGGATGAGCTCGGAACTATTTTCAGTTCACCAAGATGGACACTGACGACTTTTTCTCCATCCTGGACCTTCCGTCAGCTGCCAAGGAAGAATTCATTTTGACTTGCAATCTTGTCTGTGCGGAAATTTATGAGGCACCCATTATGACTTTATTAGTACCAAAAAAGAAAAAAAAATAAGCAAAATAAGATATTTATGATGAAACTAATATATATAAGACAAAAGTGAAATAAACTTGTATATAAACAAATATATAAAGGTGAAAGAAGTATACCAGTATATAGGACAAAACCAATCTATTTTATAGGACAAAGTTTAAAGAGCAAAGTTTATTTATATAGGACGAGAACTAATAAATACACGACAAAGCTCATATATAAACGACAAAACTAATAAATAGAGGATGAAAGTAATATATAGGAAAAAACCAATATATATGTAGGACGAAACTAATATATATATTGAACAAAACTCAATTAATGTGTAACGAAACTAATGAATATAAAACAAAATTAATAAATGGGACAAAGCGCTGCCACCTCGACGTCAGACTGGTTGTGATATACCGTAGATCAATATGTAAATATGTGGAACGAAAACATAAAATAAATTGAATGAAACGTAAAACATATAAGACGAAGCACCATCTACCGACTGGTTCACTGACGCTTCTCCTAACAACAATGCAGAGCTTTTAAAAATGTTCTGAAGTGATGCGGAGCTTTCTCATTTGTTCCAAAATGTTAGGACCATACAGAACGATTGAGAAAGTCCCTCATCATGGTTAGGCCGCATATACGTGTACGTGTAACATTGCCATTTGCTGCTATGATCATGTGGATTGTGATTAACCACGTTGTTGACAGTAGGCCTCCGGCGCCAGGGGCACTGCTGCCATTGTCAGGCTTTATGCAAGGGCACCAGTAGCAGTAGGCCTTGGCCCTTTGCCCTGGGTATAGCATTAGTCGCAACTAATTCACGGAAAGCAGGGTTTTGAAGGAGATTGTCAACTTCTCGTACATGAATGTTCACATTAATTTCCAAATCTCGAGCCATGGTTCAGGATCACAGCTCCACTTGTTTTGACAAATCTCTTTGACAAGTAAAGTGTGGTAGTGTGCCTTTACAAAAATGTCCTATGAGGGTATCCCATGGGAAAATTTCCCATGGGATTACATAGTAAATTGGCCACCATGTAGCCTCGGATTTTTACCCATGGGATTTTGCCCATGCGTATTTCAAGCACCCCACGTAATCTCCCAATATATTCCCATGGTGATTTAATTGTCATATCCCATGGTGATTTTCCCACACATCCAATGGTGATTTACCCATGTGTCCCATGGTGATTTACCCTTGTGTCCCATAGTGATTTTCCCATGCATCCCATGGTGGTTTCCCCATTTGTCCCATGGTGGTTGCCCCATTTGTCCCATGGTGATTTTCCCATGCATCCCATGGTGGTTGCCCCATTTGTCCCATGGTGATTTTCCCATGCATCCCATGGTGGTTGCCCCATTTGTCCCATGGTGACTGTCCCATGCATCCCATGGTGATTTTCCCATGCATCCCCTGGTGACTTTCCCATGCATCCCATGGTGGTTGCCCCATTTGTCCCATGGTGGTTGCCCCATTTGTCCCATGGTGATTTTCCCATGCATCCCATGGTGGTTGCCC